AAAAGAAAAGAAAATGGGAAAAGGACTTGAATATATATTTCTCCAAAGAAGAAATACAAATGGCTAACAAGCACATGAAGAAGCTCACCATCATTAGTCATTTAGGGAAATGCGAAACCACAATGAGGTACCAATTCAATCCCCCTAGGCTTGCTAGAATCAAAACAGCAGAAAATAAGAAGTGCTGGCGACCTTGTGTAGAAATTGGAACCCTCATACATTGTTGCTAGGAGGATAAAATGATTTAGTCACTGTAAAAAAGAGTTTGACAGTTCCTCAAAAAGTTAAACCTAGAATTACCACATGATCCAGCAATTCTCCTCCTAGGTATATGCCCAAAAGAATTCAAAAGGGGACTCAAACAAATGCATGTATATGCATGCTCCCAGAAGTACTAAAAGATGGAAATAACCCAAATGTAAATCAACAGATGAATGGATAAACAAATTGTGGTATATACACACAATAGAATATTATTCACCCATAAAAAGAGGTGAAATTCTGATCCATGCTACAACATGGATGAACCTTTAAAACATTTTGCTAAGTGAAAGAAGTCAGATATGAAAGGTCACATGTTGTATGACTCCTGTTACAGTTTGGATATTTGACCCTCCAAACTTCATGTTGAAATCTGATGATCACCAATGTTGGAGGTGGGGCTTAATAGCAGGTGTTTGGGTCATGGGGGCAGATCCCTCATGAACAGCTTGGTGCAGTCCTCATGGTAGTGAGTGAGATTGCACTCTTATTAGTTCCTGGAAGCTAACTGTTAAAAAGAGAGCCTAGCACCTCCCCTCACTCTTGCTTACTCTCTTGCCATGTGATCTGCACAGGCCAGGTCCCCTCACCTTCCACCAGGAGTGGAAGCAGCCTTAAGCCTTCACCAGAAGCCGATGCTGGCACCAATGCTTCTTATACAGCCTGCAGAAATGTGAGCCCAATAAAACTCTTTTCTTTGTAAATTACCCAGCCTCAGATATTACTTTATAGCAACACTAAATGGACTAAGACAACTCCATTTATATGAAATATCTAGAATTAGTATCCATAGAGACAGAATACAAATTAGTGGCTGTCAGAGGCCATGGGGAGGGGTGAATGAAGAGCAACTGCTTAATGGTTATGGGATTTCCTTTTGGGGTGATGAAAATGTTATGAAACAATATAGAGCTGGTAGCCGCACAACACTGTAAATGTACTAAATGCCACTGAATCGTTCACTGTAAAATGGTTAATTTTGCTATGTAAATTTTTCTTTTTTAAAAATTTTTTCTTTCATCATGCCTTCAGACTGAATGTGTAAATGTCATCTCAATAAAAAAATTTAAAAAAAAGAAATGGTAGCCTGATAGAATGGCCTGGCTGTGGAAAAACAGAATGTCATCTAAATGTAGGTGCTAAGAATACCTTTTCTTCCTTATCAGCAGTGTTAGTTCTAGAGCAACTGGGACCTTATGGGCTTCCCCAAAGAATAAAAAACTTTCTATAAAAAGCACAGGAGATGCCACATCAAATATGGTCATCCTTTTCTGCCATCATCATTCCTTATACTTCAAAACTTTTGCCTCTGGGAAGCACAAAAGGTGCTTGTGAATCCCTTTCAAAAAAAAAAAATGAGGCGAAATTCACTTAACATACAATTAACCATTTTAAAGTGTACAATTCAGTGATATTTAGTGTATTTACAATGTTGTCAACCACCAGTATTCTTTAGTAGCAAGACCTTTTTATTACCCCGTAAAACCACTCCACACCAATTAAATAAATAATCACACTCCGTTCCCTATGCCTCATCCCCTAGTAACCTCTAATTTGCTCTCTGTTCCTTTGGATTTGCCTATTCTGGATATATTATGTAAAAGGAATCATATAACATATACCTTTGTGACTAGCTTCCTTCACTTAGTGTAATGTTTCAAGTTTCAGCCAAGTTGTAGCATTATCAGTACTTCATTCCTTTGTAGGGCTGAATAATATTCTAGTGTATGTACCACAATTTATTTATAAATTCATCTATTGATGGACATTTGGGTTGTTTCCACCTTTTGGCTAACATGAATAATGCTGTTATAAACATTCACATAGAAGTCTCTGTGTTGATATATGTTTTCAATTCTTTTGGGTATATACCCGGGAGTGGAACTGCTGGGTCATCTGGTAATTCTAGGTTTAACTTTTTGAGGAACTGCCAAACTGTTTTTCACAGTGGCTGAACTAACGTACATTCCTAGCAGCAATGTATGAAGCTTCTGGTTTCTCCACACCTTCACCAACACTTATGATTTTTTCCTTTTTAAAAAAATTATAGCCATCCTAGTGAGTATAAAGTGGTATTATATTGCACTTTTGATTTGCATTTCCCTAATAACCAATAACATTGACACCTTTTCATGTGTCTGTTAGACATTTGTACATGTACATCTTAGGGAAAATGTCTATTAAAATCTTTTGCCCACTTTTAAATTGTCTTTTCATTGTTGAGTTGTAAGAATTCTTTATATATTTTGGATACTACACCCATATCGGATCATGACCTACTTTTAAAGGTAAGTAGGTCTCAAATTTCATTAATCTCATTCTGCAAATGAAAACAAGAAAAAAAGTTGAAACTCTTCTCTTCCAACAGGGAATGATGCAGGAATTCTACCTTTGAATTGCAAGTTCTTATCCCATAACCAGATCCCTGACCTAATAAAATGCCCCAAAGGCAGAGAAATGTATTTATCAAATGCGGATAGCTTACATCCTATTCTTGGTTTGCCTACAACTTACTGCCTAATTTCTGCCTTGGCAACAGTAGTTAATAGATTATTCGTTTTCTAAGTGTTAATGGAAGTTGAGCTATTTTTACATCTGATGAAGAGTTTTGTGATTCCACACATTAACCCAAATTGCCTCATTTAATGAAAGTGATTTTAAGGAACAATCAGCTTTAAATGTGTCAAGGAAGACTAAGTGCAAGGCTTATCACCCCAGCTATTCTAACCCTTGGCACAACCTGTCACTTTAGAGAAGGCATGCAAAGCCCCCCGGATGATTTCAGTATGCACAACTCCATCCCAAACTACAGCTGAGAACTGTTCCTCTAAACAATAATAGTTAATATTTGTTAAGCCCTTACTCAACTCCAGGCATTTTCTATACACTATAGACAAACATCCTATAAGGGACGTACTACTACCATCCACATTTTACAAACGAGGAAACTGAGGCACTGACAAATTAAGCCATTTTTCCAAGGTAACACCACTAGGAAGAGATGAAGTTGAAATTCAAGCCCAGGCAGTTAAAACCCAAAGACTGCTTACTTGGGTTTTTTTGAGACAGAATATCCCTCTGTTGCCTGGACTACAGTGCTGTGGCGTCATCCTAGCTCATAGGAACCTCAAACTCCTGGGCTCAAGCAATCCTCCTGCCTCAGCCTCGCCAGTAGCTGGGACCAAAGGTGCACGCTACCATGCCAG